GGGGGTGCTGGGGGGGAGAGGAGGGGGGGGCAGCAAAGGGGGCAGCAGAGCGGGGAGCAGCCATGTCCTACCTGCTCCCACTGCCCAGGGGGGCACCAGGGACGGTTGGGCAGCCTGCCTGGCGGTGAAACTTTTTTTGCTAGGGAAAAGCAGGCAGCAGGCAGGGATGACAGCAGGGCCAGCTGTCACACCCCCAGGCAGCGCATGCACCCTGTGACAGGCCTGCCTCCCTGCCTGCCTGCCTGCTGGTCCCCAGACAAGGGGTGACCCTCCTGCCGGCAGCCCCTCCAAGCTCATCCCTCCCACCCTCCACCATGCTCCGGGATGGAGAAAACAGCCTCGCAAGGGTTAAAGCCTGCGCGATTTCGCTTGTTCAGTTTCATTTCTTGGTTCCTTGCCAAGCAGGCAGGGCTGAGGAGCAAGCAGGACGGAGGACCGGACTCTGGCTCAAAGCAGCAATGGCTGCCTTCTCCTGCCTGCAAACTGCCCTGCGATAAAGAGGGACGCGTCCCCGAGCAGGAGAGGTTGTGGGGCCGGTGGGGATGGGTGGCAGGGAGAGGAGGCAGAGCTGTCCTTGCTGCTGGGGATGTGGAATCACAGAATCACAGAATCACAGAATTGTCGGAATTGGAAGGGACCTTCTAGAGATCATCTAGTCCAACTCCCCTGCCAAAGCAGGGTTCCCCAGAGCACATCACTTGAAGTGATGGGGGGACTCCACACCCTCCCTGGGCAGCCTCTTCCAGGGCTCTGCCACCCTCATATTTAAATGGAACTTCCCATGTTCCAGCTCGTGTCCATTGCCCTTTGTCCTGTCACTGGGAACCACTGAAAAGAGTCCGGCTCCATCCTCCCTCAAACCGAGAGGGGCTGGTGCTGCTGGACCCAGAGCATCAGCGGCTTTGTAGCTCCTGAGCTTGGCCATGTCAGCTGGAGGCAGCGCAGGTGAGGGGATAGCCCCATGCTGGGGGCAGAAATGGTGATTTAGCTGTACGGAGTTGGAGGTACTCCCCCAAGGGGGCTGCAGCCCACGGAGGAGCCCACGCTGGGGCGGGTGAGATGAGTAAGAAGCAAGGAGCGGCAGGAGGAGAGCAGAGGCTCCTGCCCTGTGTGCCACCTGCTGTCTTGGCAAAGGGACGCAGAAGGACTAGATGTGGGGTGGAGAGAAGATGGAAAAGGGAGAACAGGAGCGGAAGGGGGAGGTGGGTGCTGGTGTCCAGCCTGGGGAAGGAAAGGTGCTTTCCTGAGGACTCCCTTTTCTTTACATCTTTTTTGCTTCTGCATGCCTGGATCTGTAGGTAAAAGAGCCGTTCCATGAGCCCACCTCCCTCTCCAGATGTTCCCCACTTCCATAGTCAATGGCTCAATGTTCAAGTGGATACCAGTAAGGAGTGGTGTCCCTCAAGGGTCTGTGCTGGGACCTATTTAATCTTCAAGAACACAGACAGTGGGACCAAGTGTCCCCTCAGCGATTCTGTGGGTGGCTCCAAGCTGTTGTTGAATGTGTAGCTGAATGGTGTGAAGGGAAGGGATGCCACCCAGAGGGACCTTGACAATCTGGAGGAGTTGGGGTGGTTCAGCCTACAGAAGAGGAGGCTCCAGGGACACCTTACAGTATATAAAGGAAGATGGAAACCTTTCACCAGGGCATGTAGTGACAGGACAAGGGGCAGTGATTTTAATCAAGAAAGAGGGCAGGTTTAGACTGGCCATAAGGGAGAAATGTTCTGTGATGTGGGTTGTAAGACCAGGTTGCCCAGAAAAGCTGTGGATTCCCTATCCCTGAAGGTGCTCAGGGTCGGGTTGGATGAGACTTTGAGCAACCTGCTCTAGTGGAAGGTGTGGCTGGACTGGGTGACCTCTGAAGGTCCCTTCCAACCCAAACCACCCCGCCACGCACCGGAAGAAAGAAGGAAGGAGGCCGAGCCCCCCCCCCCGAACTACAACTCCCGGCGTGCCCCGCGGCGGCCGACGGCCTCTGCGCCTGCGCGGCGCTTGGAAACTTCCAGGCGTGAGGCGCGGTGCCTGCCGGGTAGAAGACGGGCAGTCGCCTCGGCGCCATTTTGTGGCGAGGGACTGAGGTGTTGCGCGCGTGTGTTCGGCGCCCCGTGGGTGGCGGTTAGCGCTGCGCTGTGTGCTGGCGGATCGTGTGACGGCGGCATGGGCTCGGACAAGCGGTGAGCATGGGTGGGAGAGAACCCGTGGGTGGCGGTTAGCGCTGCGCTGTGTGCTGGCGGATCGTGTGACGGCGGCATGGGCTCGGACAAGCGGTGAGCATGGGTGGGAGAGAAGGGGAGGGAGGGAACGGGGAGCGGGGAGGGGGTGGGGGTGGGCGATGGTGGGGGTCGCTGCGGGCTCTTCTCGCCCTGAGCTCGGCCTGGTGTGCCCCGCAGCGTGAGCAGGACGGAGCGGAGCGGCCGCTACGGCTCCATCGTAGAGAGGGAGGACCGTGATGAGCGGGAGTCCCGCAGCCGGCGCAGGGACTCTGACTACAAGAGGTCCAGCGAGGAGCGCCGCGGTGACCGCTACGATGACTACCGCGACTACGATAGCCGGGACTACGACAGCCGAGACTACGACAGCCGCGATAGCCGAGACTGCCGGGACTACGACAGCCGGGACTACGACAGTCGCGACAGCCGAGACTGCCGAGACTACGACAGTCGCGACAGCCGGGACTGCCGCGACTACGATAGCCGCGATTGCCGGGACTACGACAGCCGGGACAGCCGAGACTACGATTGCCGGGACTACGACAGCCGGGATTGCCGAGACTACGACAGTCGCGACAGTCGAGACTACGACAGCCGAGACTATGACAGAGATTACGATAGCCGCGATTACGATAGCCCGGAGGTGAGCGGGGCGAGCCGGGCCGTGGTCACTGCAGCCCCGGGGGGCGGGTGGGGGCCGGGGCGGGCCATGGAGGGGTCCACAGAGGCCTGGCATCCCGGTGCTTTGCTGGGACGAAGGTGGCGGTGGTGGGGGGTGTCGGTTTGAGCTTGGCTTTTGTGCCCGAGGCCGTCAGGAGCAAACCTGGGAAAGATGCTCTCATGGGGAGTGGGAGTTTTTTTGTTGTGTTTCATTTTTATGGCATTGCGGGGGCTCGTTGGTAGAAATTGCGGTGGTTAATTGTGGGTGCTGGCTTCTCAGAGGGAGCGGGAGCGCAGGAACAGTGACAAATCAGAAGATGGATACCATTCCGATGGTGACTACGGAGAGCACGACTACAGGAACGACATTAACGATGAGAAAGAAAGCAAAACCATCATGTTGCGTGGCCTTCCCATCACGGTTACAGAGAACGATGTAAGTAGCCAGAGAGGGGCTTTGCTTTTCTTGCACCTCGGGAAGCCTGCGGCTTTGTGTCCGCCGCTCTGCGTGGTAGTCGCTGCTGCCATTTTGTTGAAAGCTGCATCATGGTGGCCCCCTCTCCAGGGTTCGCGCTGCCATTTTGAGTCCTAAAAGGGTTTAAATTGTCACTGTTAAGTAACAGAGGTCAGTTGAATGTTAACCAGGTTCTTTCAAAGGGAACAGTCTGTGAATAGTATTTTTTTTTTTTCATGCATGTTTGGATGCTTTCCCTAAGACTGGGTTTTAAATTACCTGCTCTTTCTGCTTTTCTGTATAGGAGGAAAGAGACAGATAAGATTTTTTTCGTTCTCTCCCCCACCCCCCTCATGGAAGGGGAGGGGGAGAGAAGCAGAGAGGTGGTACTTACTTGAATTTTTCCAGGTCTTTATTGAGGCCAGAAGTTGTGACTGGTGGGGTTACACACGGCCTCCGAGCTCCTCAGCTGAGTTTGGCTGCACAAAGCTGCTTTGTGTGGGTACAGCTGTGCAAGTCATAAAATGGCTGCTGTGGAGCTGAGAGAGCAAGTACAAAT